CAACATGGGTCATTGTCACATCATAAAAATGGTTTCCAAGCCCTCCGGTCCACTTCCTTTCCCCTCTCTTGAGCTTCAGAAGCACTGACAGGTGGCACTGTGGTGCTAGCACCCAGTCACAGACACTGCGGTGTCTTCAACTAGGTCCGATGTAGATGCCTTCCTTGGTTGGGCGATAAAGCTACCAATGCCCCAGGGTGAGGATGCAGGCTCCCCTTGCATCAGTTAGGAGCACTCTATTTGATGGCTCAGAGCAGTGGCTTCAAGAAGCAGGCGTCGCACTTTATTCCTACCATGGTAGATATGGAAGCCACTGATGCAAGGGTGGAGGCCAGGCCTCGCTGGCCTTGCCACAGAGCCCTCCTCCCTGAGGATTCCAGAAGCTCAGTCAGCCCACTCTTACCTATTTCCTGTCCACAAGCCTCACAGATGTTTCTTGGGTTGCAGGGAGCTACAGGGCTGTGCGTACCTGCTGGAAATGCTGCAAATGCTGTTGTTGGACATGTTGCTCTCCCCACTGAATCTATGCTACTCTCTAGCACAGAGATGAGCTGACAGTGACTTGTAGGAAACTAGTTGTCTCTGCCTTCTGCTCTCTGTGCATCTGTCTCTGTGAGTAGATACCCACACGTGAACACGTGTGTACACATATAGTACACACAGACCTACACAATCATCCTTCTGGGAATTCCCCTCTTGTGGTTACATCCTTCCCAGGATGGTCAAATCTTGCACAGAAAAATGTTGTGCATTAATTATGTCTCACTTAGGTATCTGTAGTGGTTGATACATTTGTAAACCTGAGAAATTTAGAAGTTTAACCAAGAGACTCAGCAGGGGGCCAGGGTCCTTGCTTTGTAAAGATCAGCATCCTGTGCAAGAGGGGGGCACCCGGATGCTGTGAATGCTGCTCCCTCCCTGGGGTGGCTGGGGAGCCTGCTTACAATATGAAGGAGGAAGAGGCCTGCTTCCCCCCTTCTGCTCTGGGTGCTTTTGCTCTTGCCCCAGCACCATGGCCCTCTGCCTTGGAGCCAGTTGATTACGGACTGAAACCTCCCCACACTGTGAGCAAAGTGAATCTTTTCTTTCTTAATTTTTAAGTGTCGGGTATCTTGTCTTGGCAATGAGAAGCAGAACCAGTTCTGTGAGTGACTTACAGTAACTAACAAAAGGTAAGTATTTCTCATCATGTGTTGTTTAGATGATACATGGTGAGGAAGAGTAGCTACACACAGTCATTACACATGCTTTGAGTATTTCAACCCCTGGTTGGTCGAAGCCTCAGATATAGAACCTGTGGATGGAAAACTGTCTATACATTTTGATTTATATATATATATATATATATATATATATATATTAGGTTCATATAAATATATAGAGATAGCAGATAGTCAGATTATGCTGTATCTGTGTATATTTCCTTATATAGATATATAGGAATTCTGTATCTTTATTTGATCCAGAACATATGTTTGTATACACACATGAGCAACGCATTGTTCAAACCAAGCCAACTCAAATAAGGATTGCAATAGAATATTAGCCATGGTATTAATTACTATGACTATTATGGTCATTAGTGGAGATTTTTTTTTTCAGAAATAACTACTGCTGCTGTATGTATACAATTGATCCAAGTTTCTCTACAGTTACAGCAGCTTTTTATCCCATTGTCTAAAGTCGGCGTCGCTGCTAATGGGAAGCTCTGGAAACATTCACGCCCTCGGTTTTCTTACAAGTTAGAGCACTGAGCCAGCGAGCTGGGGTTTAGCTCCACGTTGCTCCCGTTCACCTCTGTGATTTAACCAGTGACCTGCAAATGGTGCTTGTGACACACATTTGTGGCTTGGTATCAATACCAGAGCAGAAGAACAGGAAACCCAGGGAGAGGACTTGGGGCTCTGTCTGTGTCACAAGTCCCCACATTCGTGGCCACTGAGGGGTCTCACAGGACCTGCGGAAGTGGCCTGCACACTGGCCTGGCCCTCGATCTGTGCTCTCCAATGTGCTCCCAAGCACCTCACTTAGGCCACAGTAGAGCTGTGTTTAGGACTCAGGTCACTCAACTCCAGGCTCAGCGCCCCACTGCCAAGCTCCTCACAGGCCCAGCACCATCAGCAACAGCCGTTTACATTTGTGGTCACCCACAGAGCTCCTCACCACTATTGCAGAGACAGAACAATAGCATCCGCCCGCCTTGGAAGAAGGAGCAAGCCTCGAGACAGGTAGTGGGAGGCAGTGGGGAGGGTGCTGCCTGCTGCCTAGGCCATTGCAGGAGTATTCCCAGGCTGCACATGCCGGAGCAGTAGCCTGTGAGCCAGGCCAGCAGATCTGGTGTAGTCAGCTTTTCCTCACTGGCACAAATACCAGAGATGCCAACTTCTGAAGACAAAGGGCTTCTTTGGCTCACTGTTTCTGAGAATTTAGTCCATGGTTGGCTGACCTTGTGGCAAGGCAGACGTCAAGGCAAAGAGCACAGGCAGAGCAAACTGCTGGCCTCGGGGCCAAAAAAGGAAGAGAAAGGAAGAGACCAGGGTCCCAGCATCTCCATCAAGGCACCCCAAGAACCAGACAGCCTCCCTCCAGGCACTGTTTCTTAAGGGCTCCATCACCCACCTCTGGATAGCACCACAGGCTGTACACTACTCATAGGCCTTTGCAGCACACTCCAGAGCCAGACTGTGGCAAGATCAGCCACACATTAGCCAATGGCATCCTTGGATTACTCTGTTGGGAAGAGCTGACCTTTGCTGGTAGGGCTATTTCCTAGTTACTCCTCCTATTGTTCAACCTTAGGCAATGCAGTTATGTCTTGGCTGTAAAACAGCCAAATTAGTAAGAAGAGCAGGTTACTCCATCACCTTGTTGCACATCCTTGCCTTCAGGGTGGCTCTTTTTTTATTTTAATTTTATTTATTTGTAAATCTTTAAAATTTTTTTGATGAGAAAAAAAGATAAAATAACAATGAAATGGTTTCTCTAACAGCAATGTAACACCCATCTCTGACAAAACACAACAAAAAACAGGGTGGCTCTTGAGCCCCTAATGCCCCAGGACAACACCAGAGCTCAGGGAGTTGGCAGCTCTGCAGCAGCACCACATGTGAGCCAGATACCTGAGCATGCAGGGGTGGCAGCCAGAGAGGCTACTTCATAGCCTTAAGAGGACAAGCAGGTTCAGAATAGCTAAGAATGGCAGCGTGGCTCCCCGGCAGTGACACAGTTAAAGATAATAACATTAATTGGAACTTCCTTGTTTGTTTTCTTTTGAAGCCTTAAAGTTATCCAAATGGAGTGTCAATTTTTTTTTAAAAAAATAGAAAAATGTTTTCTTGGGAGAAGACAATATTTTGAAATGTTTTTAATTTATGAGAGCCTGTTTCCTGCAGCCTCCCCAGTGCTGCATGAG